GAATATATTTAGGTATATATGTTGATGATTACTTGGACAAACCAAAATCATCAATGAACGAGTTCAATTAAATTTATCTTTTGTTGAGAACATAGTCTATCACTAAATGAAACAGCAGTAATTTGAGAACAGTACAAAAACAACATTTATACAAATTTCATTTGCAAGCCAGAGAGAGAGAGAGAGAGAGAGAGAGAGAGAGAGAGAGAGAGAGAGAGAGAGAGAGAGAGAGAGAGAGAGAGAGAGAGAGAGAGAGTTGATAATACATCCCAGGATCAGCTGGAGCACCAATTATTAACATCTAAATTTTATTTCGACGAAATACCCGATGCCGCTGTCATGATCGTACAAAAATAAAAGTTTTTTAATGTCATCTTATGACCCCTGATCTTAACATACGTAACAGTAATGAAGTACTATCATTTTTATCAGGTAGGCATTTTGTCCAAATCAAAGCACGCTGACAGTACAAAACTACCAAACCAACACACAAATGACCGACCTTTGTAAAATGATATCCGATGGATTGAAAAATCTTACACTATATGTATATTTACACGATACTTTCTGTGTATTTATATGCGAATATTTTCTCATAGAACTCCTGACATTGTATCTGCCGATCATGTTCTGCTGGTTTTAGATCCGTAACTACGTGTGTCATTTAGGTTTCTATATATGCTGAAAGCATCTCTCTCATTAATTTGTTGTTCACTGTGGTCGTGAAACTGCTTGCAGTTTTCGCATTTTGTATTGTCTTCATGGTCTCCTTGTAATTTTCGTCTTCGTTTAATACTTCACTGCCTTCATTTGGTCTGTCACTGTCTTTAAGGTTGTCAGTTAATGTCTACGACTTAAAGAATTCTTGCACAATGCCTTTTCACTCTTTCTATTGTATTAATCACAGAGTTTTCATCATATTTGCTTCACTCCAACCACTAATGATCCCATGCATATCTGAATACTCATGCAGCATTTTCTGGGCCTCTTTGATAGGCCGATATGACTCAGTCAGACTGAACAATAAATTCATCTCTTCTACGACGCTACAAACTCATCACTGCCCGGGCAATTTAATTTCCACATTGATCACGAAGTGTCAAACGGTAGTGTTTTTGGCATCATTATGTAATACTCACTGTGATTAATTAATATAGTATTTTTACATAAAAGGATACCTTCACCAGTATGGATGGGCTTGTAGACAACATTTATTTCACTCGATGGCCGTCAAAGATAAAACCATGATATCTGCTGAGTTTAAGAATGAGAACCTTTGACTACTCCTAGAACAGAGACTGAAATGATGTTCTAGCGAGGAAACAAAAGAGAAACAGGGATTTAATTTACATGCAGTAAAAATTAGTAAGCGATTAAAAAAGTGTAGCTTTCCGCGGAGGAACCCTCTGCAACCTTGATGAAAAGCGCGCTCCGGACTTCCCATAGAATCTGTGTTCGCACCCATTTTGGATTCACTCGCGTTTCATGGGCGCTTGCCGCAGGGACAAGATCACAAGAAATAGAAGCAGTGGACCCAGAGCTGTAAGTCCGATCTAAAACTCTTATTTCTCCTCTCATTTTCTATCTAAACAGGATTACCAACAAGATCAAACATACAAACAACTTAGGCAGCCACCTGGACCATTATATAAAGACGGATGTGATGCTGCTAACAGATGTATTGTCAACGTTGAGACTTTTGTGAGAACTATGAAGTAGACGTTACCTGGTATTTCGCTGCACCAAATTTGCTTTGATCGGCGTGTTTGTAAATAATTGACTGTCATTTATAACATCTGACAGACCCTGACCAGTACCCGTTTTTTTGAACGAGGATGATATGCATTACTCTAAATGCCATATAATTGCCTCATGCTTGACGATGTTATGAAACCTTATGTGTATCGGAATTACTACAACAAAGCAGTTTTAGACAGTTCTACTAATCGGAAATTAACCGTAGAAGCAAACCCTTGGTAATAGAAGCATCATTAATGACAGTCGCAACGACTTTTCTCCACACCGGAGAAAACATAATTGTGACAGACGATTTTTTACAATATGGTATGAAGGTATGGTAAACTCTAAACTATTCGTTGACTTGTGGAAACATAGAGCCAATTTTTGTCTTGTCGAGCGGCTTAAGCTACAAATTGTTTATACAAACTTTGCGATAAAGAGCGATATAGTGTTCACTGTAGAACATTGAAATAATACATGTACGATAAAAGGTGATACATCGTTCACTATAGTACATTACAGTTATACCTGCAGTTGGGTTTAAAAAGTATCGATGTCAGTGAGTGAAACCTTCTATCGATTCCAACACCATCAAACAGAAAAAAGCAAATAAAAAATTAAAAGAAATATTTGTATTCTCCTCTTATTGAATAAAGCCATACCTAATAAATGCTTTTGTAAACCTTAGAAACCGCAGTCATCAAACTAGACAAATTATGACCGCTCCGACTGCCTAGTGGTTAGAGCGTCCGCCTCGAATGCGGCAGATCATGTGATGTGTTCGATCCTCGCCCGAGTTATACCAAAGACTTACAGAAATGGCACTTAGAGCTGCCTTGCTTTGCGTTCAGCATTAACTGTTTAGTGTTAGGACTGGTCTGCCTGGTGTCAGGATAATGTGACTGGGTGTGAACATCATGCTACATATCTGCGTCATGATGCCCCAGCGCTAAACATCACTGTAAGCTGACACACTGCAGACATGTTAGAGAGATGACTGAAAAAAATGTTAAAGCTACGTTAAAAATCCAAATCACACAGAAAAAGTATGTTGAAAAACTTTGAGTCGTAATAATCGTTCAATGCTGGCAAAATATTCACTGAGACCCACTCATTGTTAGCATTACACAAATCCTGCTAAAAATCTGTTCCCTTATCTGCGCACAGAATTTGCCCATTTCCGGCTCTACGTCAGAAGGTGCATTCTAGTTCTGTACCAGTTTTTTTATTTGTTGGTTCATTTCAAATTCTTGATAAATTCTACCGCAAAGATGTGGAAATATTCCACATAGATTTGGACAGTTTCATCTATTCTGTTCGTACCAAGGATGTGCATTAAAAAATTATGCAACATAAGAAAGAGATCGAAACGTCCAATTATAAAAGAGAAACCCCGCTCTAGAACCAAATCAGTGCCCAAGTACTTCGGGATGTAAAGGTAAGTTTAACATCTAATAAAACACATATAAAATGCAACCGAAACGTATGCGACTATCTAATTGGGAGATGGGGCTGGTGGGGTGATTCTGTAAATTTATAGTCATTCAAATTGAACCCGTTTATCCGATAGTTTTATCGAAAACGGTGTACGTTATATTAACGATAGTATATTGTATCTCGACCTACATCATTACAGATATAAATTTAGCTATAGTTGACATATTTTAGATACTCGGGGAAAGTAAGCGAAAATATAAAAAAATAGTAAAATATTTTTTTTTCTCAGTAAAACCCATTTATGAATGGACCAAAACAAGTTCGCATATCATTGGAGATGATGCATAGAACAGAGCTAACGGGGTAATTGTCAAGTCCGTGGTTAATTAGCATTCAAGACATTATGCATCAGAAATTGTGTTTATTCAAGCAAACTACTTGAACGAGTTACATAAATTTGATTTAAAGTCAACACCATGAATTTTTCTCTCTTCACTAAAGGGAAGGTGGGTCTCTTTGAGTAGGATGATAAAAACATATGTGTTAGATCGAAACATTGAAGTCTTGGCGAAACATTGAATTCTTGTCATTATTTTTTTTCTTTTTAAGCTGTGGAGGAAAGCGAAGTAACGCAACCCTATCATAAATAATGAGTTTACATAAGAAACCTATTGTCTATATCCCACTTTTGAGTGTTTATTTTAAACTGACTTCAGTGTATGTGGTTGAAGTGCATGTTAGTTTATGAAGGTGTTTCATAAAGTGTAACGTAAAACATTCGATTTATATTTTGCTGATTGTAATAAACGGTAAAAACAAAATTTTAATATATCGCGAAAAACGTAAGGTAAGATAAGTTTTGTTTGAATTCCCACAAAATGGTGCAAAAGTTTTATATTCTAAGAATGATTTATATTTTTAATAATTTTTTTTAGTCTTCGTCGGTTTCAAAAATACCATTATTTTCTTTAATAAAGTTTGTAAATATATTTTCAATAAATTCGAAATAAAACTCATGGAATGAACTAACAAAGGTAAACACGTAATATTGATTGATGGGTATTTACACCAATCAATCAAAGAGTCTCATACGGAACGAAAGGATGTTAAAGGTAAATGCAAGACAGAAGTAATGGGCAAGTGAAATGTAAGGTAAAATATATCAAAGTTGATGGTTGCAGAAACAAATTAATATGCACAGAAAGACAACATTTTATAATTCTCAGCCCAACCACCAATTGAAAAATAACAAAATTAAAGAAGATATTTTTAAATAGCATCGATTGCATTAATTAAAGGTTCTAACTGTGTAATGTGGCGAATTTTGAAGACTTATTGAAACGTACGGTTGAATAAATTGTGCTTTGAAGTTATCAGAGTCAAGCTAGAAAGGTCATGAGAAAGTTCGCTATTTCTCTTATTTCATCTCTGAAACATAAAAAGATTTATGTTTAAGTTCCAGTCGAATTGACCGAGTCATCGTGACGGTATAGTGACACAGTGTACATAGAATTACCGTATCGGTTAGAAGAGGACTATGGGTCAAATAAGTGACCTTCAAAGGAAAGCTAATTGCAGCCTATTTTATTCTGGTTAAAGCTGATGAAAGACATGATTATTTGGGGGAGAAGTTTTAGGAACAGTTACTTTAGGGTACCACTTACTCAGAATTCTTTAGTTCGACTCTTGCCTTGTGAGAAGACAAAAGGTCCAACTCCTTGTGAATCTCCAGAATAGCATTTTCCCTCGTAAAAGAGGTTAAAAGGGAAAGCATGCTATAGTGCTAGGACGCACGGTTTGTGTGGAAAGAAACGGTATTAAGG